ATAGTGCTTGCCCCGTGCCATAGTGGCCTCCCGATGCCCGCCCACTTCATTCCACATACCGTTCAGGCATCAGCAGCGCTGCTGGGTGTATGCTCGGCTGTTATGCGATTTTGCTGTTATGCGATTTTACCACACTCGCAAAATCGCACACAGCCGACCATATAACAAACTCTGTATTTTGAGTGGAAATGTTAGGGGGTCGTCTTATACGCCGAGTCGTCTTATACGCCGGCAAATACGGTATTTCCCTCCTGTTTTCCTGGAATTCTTGCTGTATCCAAATACACAGTGCCTAATTTTGTCTCATTTGAGCCCAGATATAGTCCCAGAGAGGCCAAATAACTTGATGCTTGAGGTGGCAAAAATATTGGGCAATATGTATCCCCCCCCCCCCCCCCCCCCCCCCGCTCTTAGTTCTTGAACCTTCTCGTCAGTGCATACTCAGGGAGGGTGGTGGGGTTTTCATATAATTTCATGAGACTCATATCCTTCCACCCCCTTAACACCTGTCTCAGCTACCCGCACTTCCAACAGGCCTTTGGAGTTAGTTGTATAATTCAAGACCCAGGTTTAGAATCCTTCATGTTTTTATGTTGCCCAAGGCCTTAGTGTAAAAATGACTTTACTACTATTGGTTTTTACCCTCCTTTCTCTTTGTCTCCTTTAAAAATTTTTTGTTAGGGAACTATATAACAATCTGTTGTATGCTGTAATCAAAATTTCTTTGCTAGGCTAACTTTTGGGGAGAGTTAATGTTTCCGTTACAATTAATGTACTACTTAGGAGCTTTATTTCATGTTGGGGATGGTTGCGGTAGAAAAGTGAGTTCAGGGTCCAAAATCAGACCCTTGCCTCGGAGCCATTTCAGTGATCTGAATGAGAGGCATTTTGGTGGGGCTGGAAAATAGGCACTTTGGTGGGGGACAGGAGCTCCCAGGCCATGACCCTAGGCCAAGCTGGCTAGTCCATCTGACCACGCTTTCCCCATTGATGAAATCGGGATACCGCTGCCCACTCGTAGGGCTGCTCAGAGATTAAATGTGCCAGGGTCTGTAGTCTCAGCTCAGTGGTTGGTGCATAGTAAGTGCTCCGCAAATGTTCTTTTCCCTATGGTTTTACTCATAATTTTGATTTGATATCACATTCTAAAGTCTTGTGGGTTTTTGCATTTTTAATTTTTTTGTGACTATTTCTGACGGGTTTTGGGGGAACTCATAAATATTCTGGATCTTTTAGGATTCCGCTTGAAACCCCCAGTTAATGAAAATACTTTTTCTTTCTGTGTCATTTGATTATTTTATTAGGAATTAGAGTTATAGATTTTTTTCCCTTGTGTATTAGGTATCAAAACCATGACATTTCTCTGTGTTCTTTTCCCTTTGACTCCTTTGGATATTATAATTCTATAAAATCTATTTCTAAAATTATTGTTTAGAAAAAGAAGATGTTTTCTTCTGTTGCTTTCTTAATCTGTTAGTGTAAATGAGCAGAAGTTTATAAGGAAAGCAAGTCTCAGTATGTAATTTTTAGATACTCACGTTGTAATTGTGATCCATGGAATCACATTCTAGATCTATCCACTAGATTTCCTTGATTTCATTTTTGTAGCTTATTCTTCTTTGGGGGTGGTGGACTAGCTTATTCTTAATTGGAATCTTCTGAACTATCTAAATTGTCCTTTTAAATCCCATTGTACGTTATATTATTTTTTCCTGTGGGAAAAAATTTTTAAATTGTGAAATATACATACAAGAATTGAAAGATAATGGAAAACAACCTGTGTACTTCCTCCCAGCTTGAGAAATTAAACAGTACCTACCACTGCTTCTGAAGCTTATAGTATACTGATTTTTTTCACCTGCTGCTCGTAATACTTCTACTTTTTGAAACCAAATATGATTTTTAGTTTTGTGTCATTACAAAACATTGTAACATTAGAGAAAACGTCATACCTGTCATTTAATTCACTAACTCCTGAGTTAATCTGGATTTCCCATATCATGTTAATGTAGTCATTTCAATCACAGTTTTGCCACTCTTGGTCTTTGTGGATTAATACTAATTTTATAAATCTCAGTATGCCAGTGCTTTTAAATTAGGTGTCTTGATGTTCTCTCATTACCCCTCCTCCTCTTCCCCTCTCTCTGTCTCCCCTTCTTCCCCTCTCCTTTTCTTTCTCTCTGAAGATGTGCTGTATGTTAATTTTATGCAGTGATTTTTAGGTTAACTAAGAGATGGTTTGTAAGTTTAGCCTCAAAACCACTTAAGCTCAGTTCCTAGATTGCTCATAGACCATTATATTGCCTTTGGCAAAATGTGAGCGGAAACAGTGTAAGAGATTCTCAGGATTGTGGGAAGTTCCTCTGGTAAGGGTAGTAAGTAGATGCTTTCATTAGCATCTAATGTTTGCTCCAGAATTTGTGAATGACTTCATTAGTGGGGAGAAAGATGAAAAATTCACTGTACGTTTTTCTTAGAAAGATTTAAAATATGACTATTCTTTTCATATAACTTGTCTGGATTTTTAGGCTTTAGAGAGAAAATTACATCTGTAGGAGGCAAAGTACTTTTGGTGTTTGCTGTTATCTACTTTTTGTCATAAAACTCAACCTGATATAAATAATTTTGGTGTGTGTGAAAAATGACCACCCCGAAGAATATGTGGAATAATCACTAGAATTGTTATTTAAAGCAATCCAAGGTCAAGACTTAAGGAGTTTATCATACTCAGTATATGATAGTTTAGTTGCTGCATATGTCAGCAGCAAATTTTGTAACTCGTAGAGATGCTTGACCCTTTGCTAAAGGCTGCTTTTCAAATGAGTATTGATTGATGGATGACTTTTCTGAAAGATGTCAGTTTCATGGTCAGACAGTCCATAGTCAGATACATTATCTTTTGTGCCACTGGGCCCACCTGTATTCCTTACCTTCAGATATCTCAGCAGTTATGAAATAAGCTGCTAATTTCTAACAACTTTTAATAAAATAAAATGAATACTAATGTCTTATTTGAGTCAGCTTTCTTCTTATAAAGTGCTTTTGTATCAGTAATATCTTTTCCTATTGTGACGTTCAGAGCCTAAAGGATTTGATAATATGTAGTTTATAGCTAGAAATTTAATTTATATTTTCTTTCCCCGTGGTCCATGATATGGGGGGGAAATGTTAGAAAACTATGAAGTAAAACTTTTTTTTTTTTTTTTTTAGCTGAGCCATCCTGCCACCTGTTGGCAGCTAAGCTTGGGCTGTGAATTGAACCAGCGAACCTGTTGCTCAGAGCTCGCACTCTTGAGCGAGCTCTTAACCAACTGAGCCACTTGGTCGGCCCTGAAGTAAAACTCTTTAATCTTGATGATTCCAATATTATTTTTGCAAGTAAAATATTTTGATGCAGTATTTTAATGTTCATCCATCCATCTAATCAGACACACCCTAAATTGGGTACCAGTTGGTCCCATGTTTAGGGTTTTACTTGATCCCATAGCAGCATCTGAACTGGAAAGGTGGTTTTACAGGCATGGAATCTGGAATATAGGTAATGATTTAGAGACAAGCAGTTTCTGATTTACAAATAATGTAGAGTAAAGCCGTGCCCCTGCGCTCCTCTTCTGGTTGCTGCTCTTTGGAGTACAGACTTACAGCTTTTAAAGAACCTGTGAGTTCAAAAGTAGGAGGAATAAATGAAAACCAAATATTGTGGGGCAATAAATATAGATTCAAATCTATATTATGACCCACGTCTCTAAATGTTTTTCTTCTAACTACCTCAGTAGTTTTTTTTTTACTTTATTTTGCAACACTATTATAATTCTACCAATTAGGAGTTCATCTGGGCTAACTAGCTCCTTGTTGAAAATTGCAAATGTTAAAGTGAATTATTTCAGCCCAGTTGATTTCTTCCTATCACATACCTGAAATGAACTACACTGAGGCAGTAGGAGCTTTGGATGATAATTTAGGAGCATACTTAGGGGAAAGGATTATTACTAAAGCAGGATGATTGGGATGCCATAATATAAAAGGTAGGGAATTACAGGTAATAGGAATTGAGAGAATGCTAACAGAGGAAACAAACTACTTTAGAATTTGTCCAGATAAAGAAAGGATGCTGAGTTGGTTACCTTTCTGTGTTTGTTCTGTAGGGCCCCCAGTGCCCATGGCCAGTAGTATCTTTGGGGATCAGTAGGTTTCTTCTGGCTAGCCTGGGAATTTAGCCAACATAAGCACCAGTGTTTCATTAGGAATACTTATTGAATTCTATAGTATAATTTAAAAATACATTTTTCGACTGAACTCATTTGTAAGTTAGGTTTTAGCCTGTGCTTGTCTTTGTCTCTTTGCTGTTATGTGCTCTCAGTTGATAGCAACGAGTTTTCTTTTGCTTTCCCATCGGTCCTTATGGAATTTGCTGGTCAATTATGAAATGATCATTGGAAGCAGTAAGTAGGAAGTACAGTAAAAGAATTATAATAAAGGAAGAGAAGCCATTCGGAGAGCAAACGAGGGCTTGTGGGCTTAGGGGAGCCGTTGTGAACGGTGTCAGAACTTCATGTACAAGTCACATTGGTCGATTGACATGTCATCTTTCCGATCAAGTAACTTTCATTACCTCCAATAGTAAGCCATGATGAAAAGTGAATTCACATTTATACTGATTTGGGAATTGATGGAGATTACAAAATATAGATGACCCCCTCCTCCCCATATAGAATAGTGAAATAGTGACTGTTTAATTTCATACCTAGAAATGCGTGAAATTTTCATTGGTAATAGGTAGATTTTAAAATGTTTTTCTCTCTGACAATTGAATACTTTATATTTTATATCTAATTGATTTTCATTAATGAAAATTGTTTTCAGGTAAGCTTAAATGTTAGTAATGAATTTGCGTTAGTTTTATCTCTGTGTTGGGGACTGTGGTTACATGAGATGCTCCTCAGTTAGGGGTGATTGTCTTGCTCTGTGTTTCTTATCATGATCTGTTTTTCTTCACACAGTGTTGTAGTTTTGCTGCTGGACTCCTCTCTCCCTCCCCCACCCCATCAGGATGATATGAGACTTGAAAGAAGACGATGCATACAGGTGACTCACGCTTTAAAATACAGTAAACTGGGGCTGTCTGAAGGAATGTGGGCGCGGCGTGGTATGTTTTGAATGGGGACGCTTTCTGATAACTTTAGTGGGGAGAATTATTTAGCTCAGTAAATGCCAAGATAGTTGGGATATTTATTAAACTTTGGGAATCAGTTTGATAATCAGTGACTTACAGTGGTATGAATACAAATACAGCTTATAATTGCTAGTACCTGACCTTTTCAAAAGTGGATGGTTGGCTAATACTTTGGTGAAAATTGAAGTATTTCTGTTAAAAATAAACAAAATGTTTACCTTTATGGTTGAAAGTTTCCCTCAGATCACTGTTAGAATAGAGCAAATCTTTTAAAAGGCATGGGGAGTAGGCGTTAGTAATGTATCAGAAATAAGACTGACAGACTAAGGATATCACACTTATATGTATGATTCCTGTAAAAAATAAACGGTCTGGGGTTTTGCTTTTTCTTTCCTTGTTCCCTCCCTTTCTCCATCCCTTCCTCCATTCTTAATCTTTTTTCTTTCTTCCCTCCCTCCTTCCCTTTCATCCTTTTGTCAGTCATTTGTATTTATGCAGGAAAAGCAGTATGAAGGCATTTTTTAAAGAATATTTTTGACTGCTTTATAATTAATTTAGGTGATCTTAATTCATATATGGAAAAATTGAGGCTAATTAATGTATGCTAACTTTTGAAAATATAGTGTAGATAATGGATAAAGTGTCACTGACTTTTAAACTTGTGTCTTCTTAAATGAGGCCGAATAGTGAGGCATTTTTAAAATTTAATTTTTTATTAGTTTCAGGTGATGTGGCCTTTTGTTGAACCAAGTGGCTTATATTTGGAGACTTTGTCAGAGACAGTCTTATTTGATTATATTTATAAGCCGTTTGAAAATGTGGTCTTTAACTGGAAAATAAGTAACTACATAAATCTTGGATAGATATTTAATTACATTATTGGTGTAGCTGTTAAAGTGTTTGTGATTGGTTTTTGGTTTTGGTGACCTTTGTTTTCTAAAAGGAAAAAAATGACTATGTTTTTGATTTTAGAGTGGGATTTAAAAAATATCTCCGGTGTACCATTTTGTATGAAGAAATGTGCTTGAATATATTTGCATATTATAGATGAAACGATATTTCACATTCATGAGGGAGGACACAGATTATGATTGGAATTCTCTTACAAGTAAAAGGTGATTGACGAATCATCTCCGTCACTAGCTCTCAGGTTGGTGACATATTGGAGGGACACCAGGTACACAGTCTGGCTGGGTGGCTGATAAAATCAGTGTGATAATACTGAGGCTGAACATCACCGTCATCGAGAGCTGGGAATATTTACAGAAGGAATGTTAGAATTTTATGAAGATTTTGTTGTCAGATTTTGTAAGTTTGGCCTCTTGGTGCAGGAACAGTTTCTCAGGCCTTTCAGTTGGGGGACCGCACCCTGGGCACTGGACTGCACCCCGGCTCTGCCAAATGGGTGCCCCTTGGAGCAGAGCTCAGCAGAGGAATGGAGTAGTGTGTTTGGGTATCTCGTAGATTTATTCATGAGTATTAATAATTTTGAAGATTATAAGCTGCTATTTTAATTCTAGTTTACCTTCATAAGACATGAGTTTCCATGAGTTTTCTCTCTTGAAAAGCTTATGGATGAAACGAAGTAAAGAGTCAATACAGTTTCTACTTCCCTTTTAACAGTTTGGAGTTAATTGTTTTTGAACATGAAATAACAGCTTCATAACCACCATTACTGAGTGTGGCAGGTTGCTCTTGTATTACCGTGTGCACCTTCATTCCACTGTAGCTGATGGAACGAACCACAAAAAGGCTCATAAGGAGTTTTTCCAGGGAGAGTTATTTCTAGGATTCTTATGTGCACTTGAAGGAGAATTTCTGTTTTCCCCAGGCGCTGACTTTATGTCAGTTAGATGTGCTGATGCCTCACTCTCCTGCCATTTCATCGACAAGGCACAAAGCTCAGGTTCAGGGGTGCTGGGAGGACGTTGAAGTAGGCACTGACTGGTTGCTCTTTCAAAAGCCACAGCTTAGTAACAGATTTTCACTGAACACCAAGCCAGAGCTAAACTTGGATGTATCTCTAGTACATGTGTATAGAGGTGTTCCTGTACTTGCTTAATTTGAGGGTCTTTTTGCGTATTTTAATATAAAATTACAATATAAAGGAGGTAAAATTGGATTTCTTAATTTTTTTTGGAAGAAAGATCATTTGTGACAAAACATTTATTTGGCTAGCATTTGCTTTCTACCAGGTGCTGTAATAGGTACTCTGCCCAGAGGGATCCCTGTGCCTTAGAAGCAAGGAACATTTCAGTGGGAGGAGGGGCAGATATATAAACAAATGATGCAATAGATGTTTATGATACATTTTTAAGACTTACCTAGTCGATTAAAGGCATCTTATTGGGTTGTCAGAAAAGTCATGATGACGCATGTTTGCAACAGATGGCGCTAGTTTATTTTTGAAAGTACTAGAGTCATTTGCATCGATGTTATTGCTATGTCATTTGACAGCTGACAGTTCTAGCTGCATTCTAAAAAAAAATTGAGCGATTTGGTTGAGTTTTGGAGATTTTACAACAAGTTGAAGGTGGAAGGCCAAACTGTGCATTTTTGCCATATTTTACTGTTTTACTTCTGTAAAGGGAAGAACGCATGTCAAGCTTGTGAAAAGTTGCATAAAATTTACGGTGACAATGCTCTACAAGAATGTAAGTGCCAACAATGGTTCATGAAATTCCATGCTGGTGATTTTGATCTCAGTGACGCTCCTCGGTCAGGGAGGCCCACCGAGGTTGATGACAACAAAATACAGGCATTGATCGAGTCAAACCCACGTTACATGACACGAGAGATTGCAGAAACATTGAACACTCATCATTCAAGCGTTCACGACCACCTGAAGAAGCTGGGATAGGTAAGCAAGCTCGATATTTGGGCTCCGCATGAACTCAAAGAAGTTCATTTGACTGCGCGTGTAAACATCTGCAATATGCTCATTAAATGTGAGGAAAACGATCCTTTTTTGAAGTGACTGATAACTGGTGATGAGAATTGGATTGTTGACAACAATGTGGTGCGCAAATGGTCTTGGTCCCAATGTGACGATTCGCCTCAAACGACATCGAAAGCAGGCATTCATCAGAGGAAGGTTGTACTCTCAGTGTGGTGGGATTTTAAAGGTATCGTGTTTTTTGAGCTCCTACCAAGGAATCAAAAAATCAATTTGAATGTGTACTGTTGGCAATTGGACAGTTTGAACGAATCCATCATCCAGAAACGTCCAGAGCTTGTTAATTGTAAATGAGTTGTATTTTATCACGACAACGCGAGACCACGCACAAGTTTGATCACCCGTCAAAAATTATTGGAGCTGGGATGGGATGTGTTGCCACACCCACCATACTCGCCTGACCTTGTGCCGTCAGACTTCCACTTGTTTCACTGTCTTCAAAACTCCTTGCATGGTATAGCTTTCAATTCAGATGAGGCTGTAAATCAGCACCTTGTTCAGTTTTTCACAAATAAAGACAGATCCTTCTATTAATGAAGAATTATGAAGCTCACCGAAAAATGGCAAAAGGTTATCGAACAAAACGGGCAATATATCATTGATCTTTGTTCTTCATATGAATAAATGACCTTTGAAAAACATAGACAAAATATGTCATGACTTTTCCGACAACCCAGTAGAGTAAAAAGAAAACACTTTGGGGGCTGGCTGAGTGGTGTGTTGGTTAAGAGCTGGCATAACCAACGCCAGAGGGCCCCGGTTGGATCCCACATATGAGGGCCAGTGACACCGCCCTCTACAGCTAAGATGCTGAACAACAGCTCAACCTGGAGCTGGGCTGCCGTGAGT